CCATGTTCGAAACCTAGTCACGACCCGCTTCAGATTGCCACAGCTTGAGAGCCTGCTCTGATGCGACAGGTTGGCCACTCTTGGACGTCTTGTGAAAGTAGCGCCGCATCCTGAGCAAAGAGGGGGGGCAGGATAGGATGTGAAGGGGTCTCATGCGCAAGACGTTGAACCACTAAACATATAGCTAAAGATCTGGTGGTAGATATTGTCATACTTCGAGCTGCCAGAGGCATGAGACTGTGAGGCAGGGTCAGGTGGAGGATTATACCTGACGCCTAGGGCCATTGGACTGGCGCGCTTGCCATCACCTGCAACCGAGGGGGGGAGGGGGAGGCGAGTAAGGCCCAGGTGTATCTGGCTGTCGGTCAGGCCATTCTTCCATTCGTGGTGATGGCACGGCTGGATGGTCAACAACGGTGTCTGGAATCTCCTCCACTGAATTCATGCGGCCAGGTCCAGTCGATGGGCTGATGGCCCCAGCTAAGAAATGGCCATCTTGTTGAGCTATTTGGATTTCACCTCTTCAGGGGGGCAAAGAAAAACCATCAAGACACCAATGGAAGGTATGCTTCAAAGTTCATGGCCGGGATTTGTACACCCTAATTAGGTCAGACCTGGCTCAAGCATTTGCGGCTCCGCCAAGGCTTCTGCGGGCCGCGGTGGCACCTGCTCTGTCCTCATCAAGGCCCGCTCCATCCCGGCAATGCGAAGTCTGGTCGCCTTAATTGCACGGTGGTTTGCCTGAAAGAGTTTGTCGTGATCAAGCCACATAACCACCAACATACATAAATCAAAAACCTTGGGCTGGCTCACGTCAGCTGACAGAAATCAAAGCATCGATGTCGACCGTATTTGTATCCATGTCCCCAGTGCACTGAGTTTGGAGAAGGCCCATACCCCTCTGAAGAGTCTGGCAACTCGAAGTCCGGTCCATGGGAAGAAAGACAGCGACCAGCCTAACTGCAAAATCTAGCTAAAGTCAATGACCTGTGCCCCAAAAGCTTCCAAATACGGCGATGACCGATGAGAAAAGGACGAACCGATGGGAAAAACAGGTACGTTTGTTACGTTTTTTTGGATTTGCGCGCGTTTTGCGGATATTTGCGCGCGTTTTGCGGATATTTGCGCGCGTTTCACTCCCGATTTCTGCGCGTTTTCCCGTGGCAAGTGCCACGAGGACAGAATCCGCTAACTCCGAACTCCGAATTAAGATCATCTAGACCTCGAGGATCATCATTTCGAAGGGCTCCATGCGGAACAAGGGGCAGGAGCCTTGGCTATATCAATCCAGTCTAAATGAAAACCCTTGGGACCAGGGTATGGTTACCATAGGATGCCCCCCAAGAAACAGTGGCCATGAGATTTGAATACTGGAGGTCGAAGTCAATCATGGCCTCACTCCAAGCCTCTGGGACCACCAGGTGTTTGTAGGCCCGAATGTAGTTATAGACCTCTTGCAATCTGGCGTCCTCCCACTGATCACGGTTCAAAGGGTATGCTTTGAAAGCTTCAACATCACTCGTGCCAGGCACTTGGAATCTCCGGCGAAGGTCGGCCCGGAAGGGGCGGCGGGAGGAGGCAACATATGCCGACAGGAGCTTCCGACCAAATCCCTCTGGATAAGTCCTGGGAGTGTCACATGAACGAAGGTTGGGGAATACGAGACAAAACGACGGACTGGTTGAGAGGTTTCGATTTTGTTCTTGAGGAACTTCAGGGTCCACTAAACGTAACATTAAACACACATCATGGCAAGGTTCTGGCTTTCGCGCATTTCCTTCTTTTTGCCCACAAAGCGCTTCTTCCCCTGTAGGTCATGGTAGGTGCCTGGGTGGAGCCCGGGTTGGGGTTGACATCTCATTGGGTTTACAACCTATATAATGAATGGAAGGCAGTTAAGGTGCGAGAAGTTGACTTCTTCTTGGTCCCTTTTGTCAGCTTTCCCACGTTCAATTGGCGAATGAGAGTGTCATTGCTCCAGACCATCGTGCGTTTCGGCGTTGCACCTCCTAAGAGGCCCATCCAAAAAGAGGCCCGGTGAACCTTGGTTGGTGGAAATATATATGTATATGTGATATCAGCGTTCCATGACCTTGATTGATAGCTAAGTGCAGGACAAAGGAAATCTTGTTCACGAGGTGTTCAAACCGGTAGTGTTTGTAGATGAGGCTGCTAATAGGATTTTCAATCACGAATATACATCGCTTTGCCAGAATCACACAACACAGCAAGACCAACCTCGGTTGCAGAAACACCATATACCTTTTCCGCTTCACACTTGCTAAAGTGATCCTTGAAGTTTTTGTAGCCTAGCTACCGGCTCACCATGATGTTTGCGGTGTATACAAAGTCATAATGACCCTGGCCCTGCCAATTGAAAAAGGACCGCATGGACGTGAGCAGATTGGAGCCAGGAGATTCATTGCGTTCTCCGCTTCTTGAGTCACGGTGTGCAAAGCCAGCCTTAGAAAGATTGTAGCTGGTCTGGATCTTTGGGGATGAGGGTTCCGTATGGAGTGCATTTTGTAAAGGACATCCAAGGTACAAAAAATCCTGCAGCCCCATTGAAGTTCATGGCCTCCTGGTCTACATCCCAATCAAATGATGCACATTGAAATCCCTGGCGATACCTCAAAATGCAGCTGCAGAGGTGAGGCCATCAAAAGGGTACCACACATTTGCTTGCTTGATGTTTCATTGAGACCAAATCTATATAGTGGAATCTAGGTACCAATGCTTTGTTGTTTTTCCAGCTCCGGCAAAAATCTCAAAGAACTGGATGGGTTTGGGCGGCTTCTCAAACCCGCTCCACGACAAAGCAGGACCTGTAGTAAGTGATGGTAAGCGCAATCCCGCAATCCTTTTAATGGTCCATGGATTTACTTTAAAAGACTGGCACATAAGGACCTGACGATGGCCACTAAAGCCTAGGCCGAGCAAAAGAATGGCATCATTGTCCAGGTTTGCGTGCACAGTCTTTTTTGGGATGTCCAATGCATGCTACTAGATGATACTACATGTAGGCAGGAGACCTTGGGGCATCCCAGTTCCATCAAATTGTGCACAAGAGAAGGCATTGCCACCAAGTGTCGACTGCAATATGTTTGGAGCCAAAAAATCTTTGGTATAGTATCGCACGGAGTTCAAAACGTTCAAAAGCATATTGCATGAAACACACCCTTCCGTGATACGGCAACTGAACGAAGAGTGCCACACTGTGTGCTAGGAGGCTGGGCACCTGCACTTTGCGCTCGAGCCCACCAAGTATACGATCTTCTCCCCATCGGCCTGGCACTCAAGTGGTCAGCTGCCATGGTGAAGTTTTGATCAATCGATCATGAGCAATCTGATCACGAGAACCAATTTTTGGGGGGGTTCCTCTCAACTTCTGCTGGAGCATAAAAAGATGCCAGAGTGAGTGCAAAGAATTTTCC